TAGAAATTCGCCATAAATATTTTTCCGTTTGCATCTACCAAATGGATTTATTTAACGTTTTCGATTAGGTGAACATTCTAATAGATATATAGTGCTAAGTGAAACAGTTTTGCTTAAAAAAATCAGAAAAATCGTAATTATAGATTATATTAAAAAAAATAAGATTCGACGACTTAGAAAAAAATTCTGTCTTGCTTATTTCTTTTGTTAATATCAATAGAGTATAGATTTGGTTTGGATCGGGTAAAACACAGTATCGGAATGCTATATTGGTCTAATAGGTATGTACATTCATATGTACATAGGTCCTTTCCACCTGTTCTACAAAACAGCAAAACAAAGTGAAGTGAAGTCTATATAAGACTAAGCGGTTCACTCTCGCTTTACTCGGGTTCGCCTCTAGACAAACAAAAAGAATTTTATCCCACGGGAACTCTTTAATTTTCCGGGATAAAAAGTATCTAAGATGTTGACCGGGGATATAAGGTACCACCATGCAAAATTTCATTTAAATCGGTCCCATACTTTCAGAGATTAGCCCGTACAAACAGACAAACGGACAGACAGAAAAAACAAAAAAATTGAAAAAATCTGGATTTGTTCTATTTCTCTTGTTACATCCCCCTGACTCGGTTTTTAGCAAATTTTTTTCTATGTACAGACATTCGACCACTACAGTTTTATTATAGTATAGATATTTAAAAATGCAAGAGTGAGCTGCGTTACATAGCGCTGTTTTCAGTGGAATGATGTTAATCGAACCGAAGTAGTTTTAGGCGGATTGGCTCGAGTCAATGGATTTCTTGGAATGCTTTCAACCCCTTACACTGTTAAACTTCTTGTCATCTTAATTGAAACTTAATTCTTAATCTTAATTTATTTATAGAATTTTATTTGCTTTAATTTACATTATTTTATCCCGACTGACTGATTAATTTACTTAATTTTTTTTGAGACCAAAGTATACAGTAACTTTTTATATATGAAAATTATATTCAAGGTGATATAATTATATTGTTTCAACCTCAGATCAAGAGAATATGATAGATAGAGCGTAAAGGACAATAAATGAAGCCAAACGAAGTTGTCAATGATAAAAGAAAATGTTTTTAAATTTTGTATAGTTCATTATTATATATATTTTTAAAGTCTGCTGATTTTTTTAGTGTCCTTTGTGTGCGTGTTCACCTCTTATTTTATACTAGATGATCATTTTTATATAGATGACCAAAAACCAAATTCTTAGGTTTTACATATTAGTATACTCTTACATTGCAGTTTTTGTATTTTCTCTTAGCAATGAGACATTTTCCCGCAGTAAAAAGTATCCTGTATGTTGACCCGGATAACCAGCTATCACCATACCAAATTTCATCAAAATCCCTCCAGTGGTTTTTTGTGATGCGGTAACAGCCAGGCAGACAGACAAAAATTCTAAAAACTATAGATTCGCTTCTGTATCGATAATAATTTTTATTTCAATAAGATTTTTCAAAAAATATTTTATGTACAGATTCGACTTTGTTACAATTTTATTATATGTAGGTATAGATACTGCGGCGACAGTAACAGTATTATGAGAAACTAAAAACCGTAGAAGCCTGAAGATTCCAATCATTATCTAATAACGATCGGTTTACCTTTTTCATTTTTTCTAAAGTATGTAAACACCCCAAAGAATATTAGATAGTTAAAAAAACCAGTATCAGCCCTCTTTTTTATCTATTCCTTGAACAGTTGAGGCCTTAATATTGAACAATTCAAATAAAAATATCTACTAAACGTGTCGACCAATGTGAATTTTATAAAAAAAAAGTGGGGTAAATGAATCATTTGTGTTAACATCAGTCATCATCGTTACACGCACAGTTTTAGTTTAGTACAGTCTCTGAGCACCATTTTTCCATAACATAACGAATGCAACGTCAAAAGAAACGCGTGTTTTTAGTAACAGAGCTGTTTTGTTCTAGTGTTAATTGTGTTCGAAAATGGTTGTTCAATAATTACTTATTTATGTATATTTAAATCGTGGTTACATATTTCTTCAAAATAAAAAACCATTTTGTTATATGCCTTCAGCTATTGCTGACACCCGATTGTATAACGACAAATTAAAATTATACAATATGCCTGCGACAAACAGATAGTGTTCGAAGGAAAAAAAGATCATGAGGAACTAAGAAAATTATATATTCAATTATCTATTCAAATTTGATTAATTAACGTTCAATTTTGCATATAAGACCATCGCTGTTATTCTCTTTGGATTTTCAACAAAGAACTGTTTTCTTAGCGTAGTCTTTAAGCGAATGGGGAACAATGCCCCTCGCGTCTGCATTATGCTGAGTCAATAAGAGGCTATCTAGAAGACTGATATTTTACACAAAAGCTTTTTTTTAAAGAACTTAGTAACATACATAGTTTTTATTTATTACAAAGTAATAAGCATTTGTACTACACAATGCTATATTGTATGTTAAAAATAATATTGTATAAGTATACTTATCAGTAAAATTAAACGAAAACGAGTAGAGAGCCTTAAATGCAACTTGTCAGAGCTATTATTTTACAGTAAAATACAATTTAATCTGGGTAACAAATGGTTGCGCAGGGATAAAGGGGTCGGAAATTAATTTCATAATTTCATTAGCATGGGAAAAGTATCTGTCATGGGACTTGGGTTATAATTACGATATTTCAAATGGTAGAAGAATGTGCATTAGTAGTAAATTACTTAGATTTACTAGTAAACTCTGATTAATAAGGAATTATCTATAATACTCGTATATTGACAGATGTTATGTTTATATTAAAATTATTATGTACATTGTACATATATTTATATACATATAGTATATAGCAGCCTCAGCCCGCGTTCAGATGACCTAACACCAAATTTTTAGGTTTTACATATTAGTCTTCTCTTACATTGCAGTTTTTGTATTTAAAAAAAAAAAAACTATTTCCCCGCAGTAAAAAGTATCCTATATATTGACCCGGATAATCAGCTATCGTAATACCAAATTTCATTAAAATCTCTCCAGTGGTTTCTCTGTGATGCGGTAACAGACAGACAAAAATTCTAAAAACTATAGATCCGGCCTCTGTATCGATAATAATGTTTATTTCAATAAGATTTTCCAAAAAATATCTAATGTACAGATTCGGCTTAGTTACAATTTTGATATATGTATAGATAAGTCGTACAGTAACTGGATTAATGGATTAATATTCACTTCCTAAGTAAAATACCTGGTTTGTTCGATTAATTACTATAGTCCTTTAAAAAAAATCATTAACTTTATAAATAAACCTGAAAAAAAATGGCTGTACCGAAATTTTAAGATAGAAGGATCATTTGTGTGAAGTTTTAATTGTATTGCGAGATTTCATTTCGACCCGAATAAGGTCGCATTTCGTACTGATTGTTAAAATTATGATAAAAGAATAAAAAAGTAAGTTGAAATAAATCTACTTCAAAAAGTAAAAAGTATAAAATAACTTAATAAAGGTTTAATTTAATACCCCTCTTATGCAAACCTAATACTTACCTTTAATATTAATAAAATACTATTTTATTTTGTATGTGCTACCTATTGTTAGGTTTGAAGTCGGTGCCTTTAATATAGATTTCTCAGATCGCGGCGAGTGTATATACCTACTATTTATTACATTTGGCTTGGCACCGATTTTCCCGTTATATTATAAAACTAGCATTGCCCGCGGCTCCGCCCGCGTTCAGATGACCAAAAACCAAATTCTTAGGTTTTACATATTAGTATACTCATACATTGCAGTTTTTGTATTTTTTCTCAGAAATGAGACATTTAAACCGGAGTAAAAATTATCCTATATGTTGACACGGATAACCATCTATCACCATACCAAATTTCATCAAAATCCCTTCAGTGGTTTTCCTGTGATGCGGTAACAGACAAAAATTCTAAAAACTATAGATTTGGCCTCTGTATCGATAACAATGTCTATTACAATAAGATTTTCCAAAAAATATTTAATTTACAGATTCGGCTTAGTTACAATTTTATTAGGTATATGTATAGATATAATAATAAGTAATAGAGCAAAATTCAGATATCTAATATTATGGTTAAGGGCACAATTTATAAACCGGGTTTATTTTATTTATTTCTCTCATTACATAATATGTTTCGTCTTTCTATACCACACAAAATAGTGCCCGGAATGCTTCTCTGTGTACATTTTACCTTGGTCCTTTTTCATTTTAAAATCTGGCAACCATGACCAATTTTTGGAAGCAATCATACTTCTGTATATTTCCTATACTTCATAATTTCAATTACAATAAGTATTATTTGGCAAGAAGATAGGCGATATATATATATATATATATATATATATATATATATATATAACTACGCGCATAGTCCTACGTCCTAAAGACAGATAAAAATAATGCAGGTCATAAGTATAGATGACAATGGAATAAATTATTAGTATATGTATACTATTCTACTCTTTATTGTTGTTGTAAATTCTACGAGAGACTCCATTCCAAATGCGCTTCTTCAGAAATCAATCAATTTGTTGTGTGGAGTTCGTGGAAGACAGTTGTAACAAACGTTGAATTTTAAGCTAAAAGATATCTGATAAGCACGGTTTGCAATAGTTCGCAATCTGAATACCGAAGCACGGATTTCTGAATCGAAGATCTTGCAAGCAATCAAGAATGCGGTATCAAGAACTTTTACGACAATACTATTTTGTTTGTAATATAAACTTCTTTTACACGTATTTGCAAAATTAAAGTGGTATATATATATATATATATATATATATATATATATATTGTTATAATGAATTCCCATGTACTAGGTATAAAGAAAAATAATTAAAAAAATTGATACATGTTTATTTACACATATTTATCTTGTTTTAAATAAAAATATAACTTTAAATAGTATTAAGTAAATACTCGTATATCAAACTAATCGAATTATAATGACATTTTTCTTTTACAGAGCAGGACGCGTGCTCGGAAAGCGAAACCGAATCACAAGAAGATTGGCGCAATGAGGGCGGCGGGGCCCTCCTGAGGTCCCGCCTCGCAATGGGCTCAAACATCAGCCAACATTCCGCAAAAGGCCTGAAAGGCCGTAGAGCACGTTCTAGTGGCGATCTTTGCAATGGAGAAACGAAAAGCCAGACCGAATCGTCAGTCTGCGGGTCAGTTGTCGGTGATGCTATGGGCTGGAATAGGTCTCTACCCAACCATTTGGATGGAAACCGACATTTAGCTGACTACAGTCGTGTAAACAATAACTATGGAGAATTCGGAACGTATAATCGATGTCATCCCAAGAGTGGGCGTGGATTGCGCTACCGTGTGTCTAAATCTGGTAAGTTTAATATATATTTTAAAATATAGTTTTTTAACACGCGACCTTCATATTCGTAGAAGTTTGGTAGTTCCACTGCGACAAGCTCATAAAAGTGCATTTATTAGTCACTTCAGGCAACTTTGTCATGCCTTCAGCCTTACAGAAGACGGTTGTACGTTTGAAATTTCGTGAAAACACTTCCCAAGTTTCCTTTGTAATTCCGTACAAGTCTGCTGATCGGAGAATGGGAAAGTTTGGGGTGTAAAGTTGGTGTAGATCTAAGTACATAAAATCGCAAGCTCAGAGCGAAAATATGGGAAGGAAAAATTTTATGATAGATTTTTCTTGATAGTGCTCACTAAGCTTTAAATCTGTTAGGTAAACACGGACTTGAGAACGTGATCAATGTTTAATTTTATAAGAATAGCAGACTAAGTTAAAAATTATATTGAGATGAATAGAAATATCCTATCCTATCTTATCCTGTGTCGACCAATATGACACAATAAGGTCTTTGCTTGATTATCCTTACATATTATGCCGGAGGTATTTTACTATGTTATTTTATTATGTCGATCATTACTTAGGTATATACCTTACCTTACCATGTATTAAATTTTCTAATCTTATATAATTTATCGTTTGTGTTGGGAATAAAACACAGAATTGTTAAAACTTATAATTTTTGCCTCAATTTATAAAATTCAGTGTATAAAAATTATAACGAGAAAAATGTAACGAGAATTTCCTTACACCTCATACACTCTGTCTTAAAAAATGGAAGCCCCCGATCCTTCATATAGGTTCAATCAAGATATAAAACGTTCAAGAGATAAAACGCCTAATAGCCGCGAGGGAAAATTAATCTTCTTAGACTTTCTTAAAAAATATGATTAAAGAAATTAGATTAGAGGCGTCTTGTGAAATACTAATACTTTTAACATTTTCTTTTGGATATTTATTTATAGTATCGTATAACAGCTCAGTCTCAAAAAGCTGACCTTTTTTTTTTAAATGGCTTATAGTTGCGTTAACAGACGTAATCCATTTTGCCAGAAGCTGACCTTATTGTCAGAATTGACTTGAGAAGTTAAGTTATTGAAATATTATGTCAACTATTTTTTTTAATAAATAAGAAATATACGCACAGATATTATTTTAATAGGTTATATATCGATGTTTGTAAAATAGAAAGAAAATATTAAAATCAAAATTATAATAAATATAACAATAATTTTAGGAACTTGAAAACTGATCGCAGATTTTAGTTTGATCGAGCAAGTTAATAGAACTCGCTTTTGCTCCTAAGGCGAATGCTTGAACTGTATAATAATCACATAATTCAGAACATCCAATAGAACTACAGAGCGGTGGTTAGGTTTGCATAAAGTCTACGTTCCACGGTCCCGTCTCATATCACTTATGTATAAAGTCGAAAATGGAAAAAAAATCTTTTAAGCGGATATCCCCTAGTTTATCTTTGCATCGGATTCGCATGCATATAGAGCTCTCCATGTCGCAAATGTTGAACGTACTTCTTTTCGTGCATGGCATTCTTTTTATAAACGTTGAATGTGAACACTACAGTAATTTTATGGAAACGAGATTCACTTTAATCGTTTACGTCTAGTTTATGAAGGCGCGTTTGAAGCGCTTTATTCGAATTCTTTCTAAGGAAGCTAAAATTTAATATTAAATTTTACGTGAAATAAAGGAAGATGAATAACAGTAGGATAGGGCTTAATCGTTTAGATATATGCTAAGAACAAACTTATTACGTACCTGCTCGTTTACTTGAATTTGTTAAAAAATAAGAGATTCTTTGTATCAAGTTGAAGACTATAAGGTTATTAATATAAGTCTATTATATAAGGTTATACATCTCATTACGTTTCAATCATAGAGGTTCGTAACTTTTAATTTATATATCAGCAAGTACTTACTTTACGAAACATAAATGTATAATTTTTGTTTTCAACTAATTAAAAAGTTATGTTTCAAATATAAAAAAGTTTGTTTTAACATTCACGATATATTTACATATGTTTTTGTCAGAGGAACTTCATGTAAATAAATATGTTGGTTATGTTTGTAGTTCTAATTAAAAGTTCCGGTGTTCCGTACGCGGTGCAACTGCAATAAACCATTTAGGAGCTCTGATATTCAAATGAAAAATGTAATATTTTGAACACAAACAAATATCTACACACTTTTTTGTCTCGTTTTATAAGTGCACTTATATATTTAAAGGGGCATAATATGAAAGAATAATATTATATTACATTCTGAATGTTAATAAATTAAAACCATTATATTTAATTGTATTTCAAAAATATATCATACTAGGATTGCCCGTGGCTCCGCCCGCGTTCAGATGACCAAAAGGCAAAAACCAATTTCTTAGTTTTACATATTAGTATACTTTTACATTGCAGTTTTGTATTTTTTATCAAAAATGAGACATATTCCCGCAGTAAAAAGTATCCTATATGTTGACCCGGATAACCAGCTATCACGACACCAAATTTCATCAAAATCCCTCCTGTGGTTTTTCTGTGATGCGGTACATACAGACAGACAGACAAAAATTCTAAAAACTTTCTAACTGATTTTCCAAAAAATATTTAATGTACAGATTCGGCTAAGTTACAATTTTATTATATGTATAGATATCATAGTGTGCGATAAAAATTCCTAACATGTAGATACTGAATTTCAGTATTAGTTTTATATAATATTATGTTAAAAGCCTCTTAAGCTTACTAAAGAAGTGAAAAAAAAAACAAAAGTTAAATCATAATTGTCCGTTCGTCTTTACGTGGTAGGTATACATGGAAAGATAAATAAAAAAATTACAATATTTTCGAAAAATATATTTTTATGTAAATAGTACATACTGGACCTGCTATTATTAGGCACTTTGAAAAATTTTGTAAAGATTCCAGATCACATTTAGTCATTGCAAATGTCTCTTTCGATTAGAAAGCTACACAAATTTTTGTATCGAGTCACACGGATGTATGCAATGTAGTAGATATGTATGTTTATTTATTTCATTACAAGCATGCTTGTCGTTTAACTGGTACCGGTTTTGGGGATCAGAGACACGAGTGACGTCAGGCTTGCCCTAAATAACTTTGGGTCAAGGACAACTTAAACTTCCACTTACTAAGAGGCAAATGATGGCAAACTTATATCATTAAAGCACGAACAGGTGCAACTTAGATTATTTAATAAATAATCTAAGAGCTGCAATTATAATATACTTATTATTTTTATGTATACCAGCGGCTCACTCTCGCTTCGCTCGGATTCGTCTCTAAAAAAATAAACAAATCTATTCCGCGTCGTCGTCGTCGTCGGCGAGTCGCTAATTTTATGTAAATTACTATAACTTAAGGGATGATTTTCGGGATAAAAAGTATCCTATATCTTTCCCAGTGTCTCAAACTATCTTCTTACCAAATTTCATCTAAATCGGTTAAGTAGATCCAAAGATTACCCCCTACAACATCACAAACTCACAATCTCACAAACTCACAAACTTTACCTCTTTATAATATTAGTATAGATGAATTTCATTGCTTTTTGCAGAAAAAACTAAGTTCCAGGGTATGTTAGGAAAAATAAACTTAAAGAAAAGGGTAACAATAACTCGTTCTGCTTTACCTCAGCTCAGTAACTCTATTGAAATGTTATCTAAGGTTTATTAGAATTTATGAGCATATTTTTCTTAGATATTGCATTGGGAGCCGCTATTTTATGAATTCATGACAAATAAATGTGTAAGAGAAAGAAGTTGCATTATTCTTTATATAGAGTCATGTTTGTTGAGAGAAATAGTACATTTTATGATTTCCCATAAGGCATTCGCTCTCTTTTAACACGAATATCATTGGATAATTTCTATATTATTTCTATATCCTGTACTTGAATTTCTCATCTAACTACTGCATAGGTATATTCAAATAAAGTACCTGGGCGACGAAGCTTCGCTCAGAGTTTTTGGCCAGAAGTACAATTTTCTTTTTAAATTGGCCTAAAAACAAAAAACTTGATTTTATTGAGTTATTTTATTAATGCAAAAGAAAATCGTATGAAAACTCGAAAACACGCGTTTTCCTAGACATAAGACTAATTAATCTAAATCGATTTTTCTTCCCCGAAAACCCACATACACCAAATTTCAGCGAAATCATTAGAGCCGTTTCCGAGACACCGGTATATATACTCGTAAATAAATAAATATACAAGAATTGCTCGTTTAAAGGTATTAGATAAAGAATATACCTGAATATCATTTACACATGTAAAAACTTGTAAAAGTATGTTTGTTATTTATATGTTACATTTTCACACTGATAAGGTACACAGAGAATGACTCCGGAGTATCATATAGAAACACGCATCCGATCGAAGCGAGAGTAAGAGTAAGGCACTAACTACTACGGTATAAATTAAAGGTGATTTTAATACAGCCCTTATTTACTTTTCCTTCTTTTTAAATTTTTGAAATATCTTTACAATAAAGCAGTGGCTGTAAAGACAATATAAATACACAATCAGTTGGAAACCCACAAACTTTTAATAATATTTCTTTACCAATTTGTCTTACTAATCAACGGAATAAACGTAGAAGGCTTTCTTTGTTGGCCATTATTAATCCCAATTTGCCTGTTAGATTGGACTTTACATGACGTTGATTTATCGCTATTCCGCAGTGGAAAAGGAAAATGGCCTATTATTATTACAATGCCGAAATTCACTTCTATTTGTTCAATCCTAAAAGTTGTCTTGAAACTGTTTGATGTTATATTTTCATAGAATTATAGTACTAAATATCGATAAAAGCCTTATAATGAAATAGAGAAAAATAAAATAGAATATTATATTTCTTTGCCGTGTGATTTGCAAGCGATCAAAAAATAACAATGACATTTAAAATTACGTCGAGTTAGATATGTCGGCGTATAATATTTCAAGTGATAAATCATTTTATATGCGTGTAGTATTTATGT